GAAGACTTTGGAAGAGCTCTTGAATGATACATTTTTAGACATTCGTATTCTGGATAAAACACACACGTATTTATGTATTTGAAAAAAAATAAAATAAAAGAAGTTAATCAGCTTCCAAATATTTATTTGAAAAGTGATTAAATTCCGAAGTTTATGATACAGATTTAAATTCAGTGACATGTGAGGTATTCCTAAAAAATGTTTGGTTTAACAATCTTATTTTCTAATTATGTTTTGATCAAATATTAAATATAATAATCATATTACGTGATAATATACTAATTAATAACTACATGATTGAGTTAGAAAGATGAGAGTCGCCTGTATAATATACTATACGTATGTGTGTATTTAATTGAGAATGACTTTTCTCTTGTTTATGTTAGGATAGAGAAGAACAATTTGATGCTTAGATGTGTACTAGGTAATAAATTAATCGTTTAAATTTTATCTATCCATTGATCGATGAAATATTAGATTAGATATTTTGTTTAAACCTATTAGATTTATAAGTAAAAAAAATCTAAACCGTTGATCTGTAAAAAAAAAATACTGACATGGCACATATTCGGAATTTGGGTTGGACATCCAATTCGATTGTTCAAATTGGCTAGAAAACTGATATGGCACATATTTATAGCTGAGGCCAAATATCAAGAGAAATTCAATAATTTATGTTGAATGATATTATATTATCATTATATTTAATTCACTATTCACATTTAAAGTTTCTTTTTTAAGATTCATGTATATATATATAATACAAAAAGGGGCCTATCTCTCTCGCTTTGTAGTTAGTAAGATTCGGAGAGATCTGTGCCTAGGAAAGAAAACAATATAAAATGAGGGGTTTCAACGTCAATCACGCAAACATCCTAAAACAATAATTCATCATCAGCACGTAATGGTGGGGTTTGGAGGTGGGGGTCCAATCTAATCTAAGTTGTAACACACACCCACACACACCTGAGACTGAGAGAGAGAGAGAGAGAGAGAGAGGCTGCCTCAAAACATTCATATCAATATCATACAAAGTTACTTACAGCTTCCCATTTGACTTTATTCACCAAACTGCCATTTTTATTACAACAAAAAAGATAATATATATATATATTGAGGTTTGTAGTGTGAAACACGCCTGTCTGGTCCTAGATTTGCACCGCAGCTACGATGTTGACACGTGGGCCCATGACTGATGATGATTAAGTTGCTGTAGTGCTCTTGATCTAAAGCTCGTATCTAGGGTATAGATACTGTTGTTTCGCAGATAATCATTTCTAGATCCCATTCTTTTTTATCTTTTTTATTTTTTTTCAAGTGTTTGCATGGATGGATGTTGTTGACTATTTAGAGAGAGAGAGAGAGAGAGAGAGAGAGATTGGTGGGTGATGCTGCCTGAGATTAAGCCAAGTCAGGGTTAAGAGGGAAATTTAAGGTCAGATATGAGACATTCAAGGGCTTGCTTGAGAGAGAGGGAGAGAGTCAGGAAACATACATATGTATATTTATATATATATAGAGAGAGAGAATGAATGAATGAATGCATGAATGAATGCAAGATGGTTGGGGGGCATTTTCTAGCGGTTGCTGTCCAGAAGAGAGTCAGGAAACAGAGATGGGCTTCACGGTAGCTCATTGGGGCTCGTTCCACCACATCTTAAGCTTTCAAAGTGAAAATACAGAAATGCCCTTCTATTTTATTTAAAAAATAGCATTAGAAAAGTAATATAGAAATCAGTGGGAAAAAATTTCTAGATTACATCAATGATGGTATCTAAGATATTGGCGTAATAGATGTGTTTTTTTACCAAGTGGAATGTTGAGTTCAAGTTTAATCTATAATGATTTTTTTCTTTGAATTTCTATCGGAATCATTGTTAAAAGGAAGATATCAATGATCAAAAATTGTGTGATTTAAGAAATCACAAGATGGATTCCTCTTTTCCTTTCAATGCACCCAAAAAAACAAAAAATAGTAAAATTTATCATTTTTGTACTGATGTTTTGTCCAGCAATAAAGAATACGTCAATTAATAATTTGTGTGAAACAATGCTTTAAAAAATAAGAGATTATGTTTGGAATGTTGGGTTGAGACTATTTTAATCACAAAAAGATAAAATAAGTTAAAAAGTTAATAAAACAAAATATTATATCTAAACCATAGTTATTTTATTTTTTTCTCATAAAATTCAAAAAAATCAAAAAATCTATCTCAAACGAGACTTTTTAATCCTAAGCTACAACAATCAAAAAGTTAAAAAATTAACCCACATCCCAAACGAAGGCAAAAAAGAATAATATGGCAAGTGGTCCAAAACATGCACATTTCACAATACTCTTTCGAAATGAAAAATAATATATAAGTAAACTTTCTAAATCTATTTTTTAGATTTAATAATATGTAAGTAATATGATTGATTAATAATTAGAGAAGTATAAGAAAGAATATTAGTTTTAATATTTTAAATTGATCGCCACATTATTGAGTTTGAAAATTAAGTTTAATTTTGTCTTGAATAACAATGTTGTACATTGAACTTATTAGAAAGCACCTTTGACATTTAAAAAAAACTTAAGAAACATAATTAAGAAACATTACACTAATATATATAAACCAAACCTATAGTTGAACCCCAATCTTGGGGCATCGGATCCTTCTCTCATTTCTTCCTATTTTAGGTTAATAGGCACTCTAGGAATTGAAAGATTATTATTGTTGATGCATCAACTAAAAAATGTGAGCTGAAAGATTAACATCTTTGATTGTACAATCAGGATGATGGTTTGGTTCACCATTTAGAGGGTGTTTGGGGTTTTTTTTCATTTTTTTTTAGTGAATTTTTTATTAAAAAAATTAATAAATAAACTTACACTTTTGGCTTTTACTCGACTAAATATGAATCGAAATTTTTTTAAAAAATTAAAAAATTTCAATAAAAATGCAAAAACAGTTAGGTTTTTTTTTTTTTTTTTTTTTTTTTCCCCTTTTTTTTTATGGAATTTTTTTTTTTTTAAATTTTTTTTTTTTTTTGAAAATTACTTTTTAATTTCATCTACACAAGAGAGACTGAGGAAAAAAAATGACATAATTTTAAAAATAACATCATTAAAGATAAACAAATTCAAAAAAAAAAAGTGTTTTTTAACTGTATGCCAAACACCCACATAATTATCTCATACATGTTTTTTCATATTGATAAAATTTTAAAATTTAGTAGGTGTTTGGCATGCACTAAAAAAGTGTACTTTTTTTGCATACAAATACTTATTTTGATCATATCAATCAACATCTATCAACATTTTCTCTCTATTTTTTTTACCTATTTTCTCTATCTTTCTATATATTTTTTTTTATAAAAAATTAAAAATATACTTATTTAAAACATTCCAAATCACCCATTATTTACCATTCCGCTAGATGTTTTCTTTTTTATGTGCTAAACAAGAAAAAGAGCAAGAAAACAGTGTTAGCTCAAAACTATGTACAAACTCAATCATTTGATAGTTCAACTACCCTAGGCTATAACCCTCACATGCATTACATTCCACACTCCTAATTTAATTATAAACTTATAAAAACATAAAATGAAATAAAAACCCAAAGAGTACATTGAAATGACATTCCTAACCCGCCTCCCCTCACCCCCCTCGAAAAAAATAAAAAATAAAAACTAATGGCATATAATGTGCGCTTTGGCATAAATTTCAAAATCTTAACTGTGGGCCTTTATATTGATAGTACCTCGAATTGTATGTCCATTTGTCATGTAAGGACTGTTGAGTCCCGTAAGAGATTTTAAAGGGTATAGATTAACAGTTAAAAGATTGAAGTATTGTTCATATTTGATTATGACCAATGATAATAACTGTCCTATTTGTTAAGATGTATTTAATATTATATTAATTTATTTTAAATTTTATAATTTCTTATTTATAACTTGTTGGTATATATTCAATATTTTATTAATTTATTTTGACTTTAGCATTTTTTTAATCTATTAATTAAATTAAACTTATTTAATAACTAATTTTGAGACTCTCCCCTTCTTTATAATTACGTACTTATATTTTAAATTTAGAATGATTTTGAATTCGATGGTGCTACATGCACTAACTAATATACATACTAGTGTACCAACTCGTGCTATGATATTATTATTAACTACATTTATTATACAAGTTATAAATACTTAAAATCATACAAATAATGTCACATCATCTGTTAGTATACTAGTGTGTACATTAATTGATACATATAATATTATTCTTTTGAATTAATAAGAAAATTAATAGAAATATATTGATCATATCTCATATTTATTTGGAATTATTAGGCATAAATTACATGGCGTAATGACGATAATACTCAAAATACATATTAGTTCAACATAAACATGGCTTTAAAGTTAAAATGTCCATGACAAGGGTATATCTGTATTTTGACGGAAATTGAGAGAAAATGCAGAGGATGATTCCCAAAGACAAGTTCAATCCATTGGGTCCCCAAGACGAATTGGGATCCTCCCCTTGAGTCCCCTCCTTAATTCCCTCCTTGCAGGGGCCTTCGGGTCCACTTTGAGGCCCAGTTTTGATAATCCGAACCGTTAATATTTTTAGATTTATTCAGTATATCATACCTGTAAAAAATCAAATTGATCGAATATCATAAAGTATGTGTTCGGAAAATTGTTTATTAAAAAATAGTTTGTAGTCCCAATTTTCTGAACGCATACTTTCTGATATCCGATCAACTTGATTTTTTACAGGTATAATATACTGAATAAATCTAAAAATATGAACGGTTCGGATTATCAAAACTGGGCCTCAAAGTAGACCCGAAGGCCCCTGCAAGGAGGGAATTAAGGAGGGAGCTCAAGGAGGGGATCTGGACTCCCCCAAGACCCCTTGGGTCGTGTTCCCAATTACACTCACTTTCTTCTCCTTGGGATGTCCGCAACCATCTCTCACTCTATCTCTCCCCATTATTCTCTCTCTCTCAATCTCTCTATCTTTACATCTCTAAAAAACTTTATCACTCTTTTAAAAGCTATATAAATACCCCCACACATGCAACAACTCTCTTAACATACCCATCTCCATCTCTCTCTCTCTCTCTCTCTCTCTAACCAACCTAACCCATCAATCTCTCACTATCTTTCTCTGTCCATGGCAGAACTTGAATATCAAACTAAACCCAACAATAATGGACGCTTAAAGCTCTTTGGATTCAATGTTTCAGAGGACGAGGAAGTAGACTCCACCAAAACACCATCCGGGTCGGCGGATTCCGGCTGTTTCCCAGCGACCGACGGCCGGAAATACGAGTGCCAGTACTGCTGCCGAGAATTCGCGAACTCACAAGCATTGGGTGGACACCAAAACGCTCACAAGAAAGAGAGACAACAATTAAAGCGAGCCCAATTACAAGCTAGCCGAAACGCCGCCGTTTCCTACATCCGCAACCCCATGGTCTCCGCCTTTGCTCCGCCGCCCCACCTCCTCGCTCCGTCCGGCCAGGTGGTGGTTCCAGCAGCCGCGGCGGGGCAATCGCCGTCGTGGGTTTATGTTTCTCACGCTGCTCCGCCATTCCACGTGTCGCACGGATGTGTGTTCCCGAATTTGGGTTCGAGAGGTGGTGGTGCAGGGAATTTACAGTATGCCGGCGGTGCAGGGGAGTCAGCATTGTCGACGAGTGGGCCTCAACAGGGCCGGGTCCATGGTAGAGTTGATGGGCCTTCGTTGAGTAGGTTCACGAAAAGTGATGGTGGGCCCAGTTTCGATGACTCGTTTGGATTGGACTTGCATCTCAGCCTCGCTCCAGCCGCGCCTTGACTTCGGCTTGGCTTCTTGGGTGGGTACCACTGGCTTCTGACTCAAAGCTATATATGGCTTGGCTCTATTAGACTCAGCTGGGAAGTCGATGTTAATTAATTACCCCCAGTCGGGTCTTTGTAAAATTTCAGATTTATTTATTTAATTTTTTCGGGAAGTAATCTAATTAGAATATGCTTCATGATCTTTTTTTTTTTTCTTCCCTCACACATGCTACATAATTTTTGTTTTTTCAATAATTAAAACCGTAACTAAGGGATGAAGAGTTGTGTGTGATACATCTTAAATTCTTAATTTCTCAAAAACAAAATATAAGAACTTGGGTCAAATGAAACCCTGATCAATTTATATGACAATGTTGTTTTTACTGTTTGCCATAATTTATATGATAATGCTGTTTACACAGTTTAGCCTCAGTAATATATATATATATATATATATATATATATATATATATTATTGAATTTTGTAAATAATTTACCTACAAGAATATATGCACGAGTAGCTAAGAGTGTGAAAAGACTAAAATGTGACACATTGGTAGCCTGGTAGGCCAATAGAGCTCACGATTAATAAATTAGTGAAATAAAAACTGATATCTTGTAGTGATTCTTAGCATAATAAAAAGCAAAAAAAATAGATTTTAAATTTGTTTGTGGAGTGTTACCATTGCACCTCGTTTACTCATCCTTGCTTCTTTCTCATTTCTCCGAAAAGGGTCAAAAAATTTGTTTTTTTTTTTTTGTTTTCTTTTTTCTTTTTCTTTTAAAAATCTCTTTTTGCTAATCTGATTTGAAGTTCTTGAATTTGTGGATATATTATGATGGATAAGGTGTAAAATTAATAGTATTGTGTATGAAAATACATGCATCACATGGAAAACATGTGTCCAACGGTGAAAACTTAGATGTACCAATTATCTAAAGCTAAGATTGGTGCAGAATATGGTGAATCAAAATGTTTTTCCTGTTTTGGATATTCAAAATTAAATGAAATAAAAGTGACATTGATTTTTAAAACCAATCTATATTCCATTTGGCCCAAACCAGTTTGCATGTTCTCTATCTATCTGCCAATCTTCTTGGATTCATTTAAAGGCTTATTAACACTTGAGCAAGCAGCTAGGTTTTTGTGTTGAGCAAGAAATCAAGATTACTATAATCAAACAAACCATCTCTCTTTTCTGTTGGGTATGCGTGTTTGGTTTGTGTTTGTAGAATAGTTTTTGAGATAAAAAATACAAAAACTTGTTTGGTTTGCCTTTTTTCAGAAATGGTTTTGAAAAATTGTTTTGGGGAGATAGTTTTAAAAAAGTGATTGATTTGATGTGTATGAGAAAAAGAGTGATTTTGCAAAGTAGGTAACCAAACAAAATTTTGAGATTGTTTTTGAAAAAATTTGTTTGGTTTAATTACTCTTAAAAATTTGTTTGTAGAAAAAATTTTCTAAAAATTTTTCTGAAAAACAAACCAAAACAAGATCTCTTTAAAATTAGAAGTTAGGTATAGTATTGATAAGACTATATGAGGCTCAAGCCAAAATGAAGATTAAAACCTAAATCAGTATTTGGTTTACTGAAATGATTATAAGTAGGAATAGAATAGCACTGTTTTTGTAAAATAGCTAGTTGGGAATTACCTATTTGTATTGCTATAATATTTGGTATTAATTTTATGAGTTTTTGTTTCAATTCCAGAATCCAGATAGAGCAAATCGTGTGCTGATACCCACCCAAAAAATTTGTGTGCTGATTTAACTGTTGAAGTATAAGTACTAATGCATAGAACCAAAAGAAAACCTGAAAAAATCGCAAGACTGGTATCATTAATGTGACACAAACATTTGAAATCACTGCTTTGTATCATCATTAACATTGATATTTATGATTAATTTGAAAATAATTATTACAAAAATTTGAGTAATCCCAACGGGCCACTAAAGATTATTTGATCATTAATTTTACGGTTTCAAAATTAGTTGAGGTGTGCACAAGTTAACTCAAAACCTAATTATCAAAAAAGGATTCTGCAGTATGCAAACTAATCCAGACACTTACATATCAAAATAATCATAATTATTATTATTAAAAGATTTGTGCAAAAACACATCATTCTGTTGAAGCAAGACATGTGTGCAAGAGTTAAAAGTCTTCACAACTCGAACTAACCCCAGGATAGCATGTCTGATCGATGGTCACCCTCTATGATACTGACTAGCTTTTGATGTATTTGTGGAAACCAATCACATGCTGACCAATTCTCTCCACTTTGGTCTTTAGGTGTTTGTTTAGATGTCCATATATCATTCTAGTAGAGTTTGAGTCAAACAAAATTGTCCCCTTCATTGTCTTCTCCCATTAACAAAGCATAGAATTCTTAATGTTACAGAGAAGTGGCTCAACCATTTAATACATTCAGGCTGCGCTTAAGGTTTAGAATTTTTTTTAAAAATTCTTATTATTGAAAGTCCTAATTTTTCAAAGACTTAGGTAGAAAGGATTTTATTTTAATATATAGTCTCAAACTTCCAAAAATCTTAAACCGTTATTGTGCGCGCACACACAAACTAGAGAAAATACTACAACAAATAAGAGTTTTAGAGACCAAATGTTTTGATCTTTAAAAGTGAAAATTTTGTTGCAAAAGATATTTAAGGACCAATTTCTATCGTCATGAGGATAGTCGCTAAAATGTCGTCCCGAAAAGTTAGCGACAAAATTTTGAAAATGTCACTAATAAATAGACTTTTAGGGACAAAATAATTTGGTCCCAAAATAATTTATTTTTTGAGACAAAAAATTTGGTCCAAAAAGGATAATAATTTATCACTAATGTCTAATTTTTGTTGCTAAAAATATAATAACGGTACTTTTTGTAATAAAAATATTTGGTTCCTAAAAAATAATTTTGTTCTTAAATTTTAATTTCTAAAACTTTAATTTTTTGTAGTGAAGAAAGAAAAAGAAGGAAAAAAATTGTTGGGAAAACAATGGGAGCAATGGCTTGTAAAAGTTGTGGTTTTTAGAAAGAGGATGAGCAACCAATGGCTTGTGTGTTGAACAAAGCTTACGTGTAATCACGAAAACAAGAAAGATAATGCATGCCATTGCAAGGCACAAAAAACTTCATTGTAAGGTTGCCCACACAATTTAAAACAACATACATAATGGTCAAAAGGGGAAGATATGGCATGGATCCCTCAAAATGGTGCCTTTTTTTTTTCGGTGCAAAGTGAAGCTCTCAAAGTGTTGCATTTATGTTTTGGGTTGGAAACTTTGCAGAACCCTTTCATGTGTTATCTATAGATAATCTAATAAAAGTATGGGTTGTCATATATGGCACACCGTCATCTCTTGTCAAAGCTACCATCTCTTGTCTCAAATGCATTCTTCTTTTCTTTTCTTTTTTTATGTACAAAATAATTTTTTTTTTTTATGAAAAAAATAAAATTTATTGATAAATTATTTAGTGTAAGCAGTACAACTAATTACATCAATAAAAGAAGTTTAGAACAAAGCATAATTGTTTACTATTTAGGTCGTGGTACCACCACGGGTCTGATTTTGATAATAATATAAACAAAAGATCTTACAAAATGAATTATTCAAATTACCAAAACGGGATTCGTAATAAATTTTCCGGATCCGGATAATCCCTCTAGATCCGGATAATCCCTCCAATGTGAATCATAGACTAGAAGAGATCTAAGTCAATATATATATATATAGCCCCGGTCTCAAATTTTTCCAAATTTTATGTTTTAAGATTGCAATCTAGGTCGCCCCTTCATCTTCTCCATAGATATTAATATAGTAAAAACACTGATTTGTATGGCAGAAGATCTTTTTTCTCCGTAGTCTCAAATTCACTCTTAACTCAAGATTCTCGTGTTTTCATCACATTGTAGAGTTAAAAATGATTTGGAGAGAGAATTTGATGATAGACAATCTCAGGTTCCATCTATCTATATAAATATGGGAAATTATAAAATGTTTTTGGAATATTACGTATTCGTACTTCTTAACCAATCATCATTTAATATGTCTTTTCATATTTTCCTATCACCCAATATGATACATTGCAATCTAGGTCGCCCCTTCATCTTCTCCATAGATATTAATATAGTAAAAACACTGATTTGTATGGCAGAAGATCTTTTTTCTCCGTAGTCTCAAATTCACTCTTAACTCAAGATTCTCGTGTTTTCATCACATTGTAGAGTTAAAAATGATTTGGAGAGAGAATTTGATGATAGACAATCTCAGGTTCCATCTATCTATATAAATATGGGAAATTATAAAATGTTTTTGGAATATTACGTATCCGTACTTCTTAACCAATCATCATTTAATATGTCTTTTCATATTTTCCTATCACCCAATACGATACTTACTGTACGAGCAAGAAATAATCTTCTCGTGTAGTCCTGTTGATCAAGTCTGCGCTTCTCCAAACGTCGTCGTTTTACTCATTGAAAACACAAACGTGAGCTAGCCGGATACCTTTTCGATGTCTAAGTCAGCAAAATAGACAAATAGACAAAAGTTCTGTGTATTCGAGAATCAAAGTTGTGTTACCTCTCCATATGTGATGTTATGAGCTTTTATAGGTTCCGCGTGACATAATCCTAGTAGGACTCTTATTCTTCCATGCAGAGTCCTCCTAGGAATCACACTCCTGAAGGATAATGCTTATCCTTCAATACCCATCACTACTTAAACCAAGTAAGATGGTTTTACCCCGGTTGGATGGCAGTACGACCGAGCTAACCCAACTCAGATCTTCCCTTCAGTGCCTGTACCCTGGTTATGCATACTCCAACCGGGCTATTAACTTAAGACCGAGCTAACCAAGCTTGTTGCTCCAATGCAAAACGCTAAGCTAGCTTGGCTCTCGTTCAGTTGTACCTCGGTAGCCTGTTGAAATCGGGCTAATCTACGGCCTGCTACGACCGTGCTAACCAGAGCGAGGTCCACCGTGTGAAGCCATCATGCCTTGGCTTCAAACACTATGACCGAGCTAACTCCACTCCGACCGTGGTAACTGTCATTCCACTTGGACCGCGCTATTTACTATAGTCCACTTGTCAAGCCCTTTTCTACCGTGGCCCATCGAACGGCTTATTACTTAGCTCGGCCCAATTTACTTATAAATTACCCTCTCACTTACCTACCTACATTTTTTATC